AAATCAGTAGTTTTTCTGTTCCAGACCGTGTCCCCATCTGTATCAGTGGTTGTCTCGGGCCTGTCGAAACTGAACGTTTTGTAAATCTCTCGACCCTGCTCCCCAATGCATAAAAGAAAGTACGAGCATTTCTCTTCCTCAGACTTTGTCCTCAACTCTGTCTTCTCGAATAGCTTCCAATGTTCCTCGAAGCGCCTCCAGGCTTCGCTAACGTTCCCTTCGAATGATGGTGGTTTGGGGGCTGCCCATTGTAATCCCGCCATTGCTCTTTGGAGTTCTCAGAATCCCACTTCTGACGCCATGTTATAGATTGATTTATTCGTGCTCTCGCTAGTACAAGTTCTGAATCACTGTTTACAAACTAGATCATTATATATCAGAGTACAGTCACGTGATCAGTATGACATTAACAATCAGATATATGACACATGTAAAAGACAAACACTAGAACAATATATAGAGGAATTCACTGAGAAATACTCAAACTCGAATTTTCTAGGAGGGTCATGTAATTACAGGAAAAACTGTACCCTCCCTTACGGCCCTAGCAAAAATATGAAATTAATTATAGAGATAAAAACAGCTACATTTGGTCTAAGTAAGAGAAATATATAATACTGAAAAAACATAGTGGTGAATGAAGCATATAAATATCAATATAAGAAAGGAAGAAAGAAATAATAATAATATGTATATATTAGGGATCATAAATCTATATTAACAACAACAACAACAACAACGTTTTATTGTACCTAGAATTACATTCATATTTACAAACAAAATTACATAACTATAAGTACAGCCCTTAATTAACTAATAACTATAAAGTTAAAAATGCGCTAGGACCATTTAAATAGAACATAGCTAAGCCTGATCTATTCGCTTTATATAATAGATTTTTACGAAAAAATTAGCGTGAAATTTCAAAAAGGGCGCGTGTCTGTCGTCAAACTCACGTAAACAAATTTGATCTATGCGATGATTGGCTAAAAACGCGACCTATGGCTATCTGATTGGTCCAGTTTTGACAGGTAATGACAGATCTGTACAGGCTGGCATACAACTGGTTTATCGCATTTGTTCAACAAGAAAGGAGAATTGCTCGTAAAGAAATGCAAATTCAAATACTGAAGAGTTTGAAAAACGTTTTCAAAGTTCAGATCGTTGAATGGACATTTAACCTGTACAAACACTCAAGAAAACCAGCTTATGAACACTTTGAATGCCAAGGAGCCGAGAGACTGAAAAATATCTTATTCTTCAAAACTGGAAGAAAGCTAGCAGTGCAGTACTTGGAAAACTTGTTTTTTAGTTGACCCTGAACTATAGTAGTGTAGGTAGTATTTTGTAATCGTAGTCTCGGGCTATTGGAAAACAAATCACGGAAAAAAAGTACCGTAAATTAGCGTAAAATTGACGATGGTAGTTTGTAATGTAAGCTGAAGTTTCTTACAATAGATTTGTTCATTCTTGTTAGCTATGAAAAATGTTTAAAATTATGTTTTGCTAAGCTTCTAGTTTAGCGACTAAATAAGGTCATTATAATAGTCGCAGCACAAACGAAAGAAAGCTTTACTCGTCAAAATGTAGTACCAATCAATTGTGCTTCAAAACGACATATTTTCCTTTTGAGGAAAGACATATAATTCTTGATAAGAATAAATAAATAACTCAAATTTAAAATGTCAAAATGCTTTAAATTGAAAAAGCTAAATTTCTGTGACGTCATTTCTGTTTAATTTTGTATAGAAAACATGGTTTTGACGTCATATCTATGTTTCTATACTCTGATAAAACATAACTTTTCAGCCAATCGGAGCGCGCGTTCGTGAAAATCTATTATATAACGAAAAATAAACAAGTGCATGATCAAGTTTCGTCGAAATCTCTGCTTGTTCTATGGAAAATCTTTAAAAATCGATTGTAGAAAAGACATGACTGCATCAAGGAAAGGAAAGGAAAGGAATGGAGGTTTTGAACGGTACAGATAAGTAAAAACTGAAGAATTATGGCAATCCTAACACGAAAAAGCGGCCGTCAGATTTCATGGCGATTTTCATGTGCAAACTTTAGGACGGACAAACAACTGACTACTGAGATAATGATGGCATTTT